TATTATTAATTATTTTTTTTATATATTTATAGACGATTCTATCGAATCGTATGTAAATATAATAATTGATACTTAACATTCTTTTATAACATTTAAAGAGCATTGGAAAATACTCGAGTATTAATACAGCACATTGGAATGAAAGTAATATTTATTTAAAAATGATGTGTATATTTGAAATAGAGAGAGAGAGAGAGAGAGAGAGAGAGAGTATCAAGGGCTTTCTGCATTTAAATAATAGCTACTTTCCGAGGTGTTAACGATTGACAATAATGACATGTGACTAAAATACCAATTAGCATTTTCAGCATATTGGAAAATATAAGAATGCATTGCGTGTTACATGACATAAATAAAATAAATATCTTCTCTTAAAATAGTAGATAATCTTATATCCCTCAGAGGAAGCCATTATATACAGCAGATAATGGAAAAAGATCTTTAATGAATCTGTTTAATGATACCATATTATCAATAATACAAATTATCGTATATAACTGTAATTTTCTTTAATGTTGCAATCATCTTCAATGTGCACATAAATTATCGAATATAACTGCAATTTTCTTCATTCTTGCAATCTTTTTCATATGCAACTTTCAAATTTTTTTTATTTGCAGTTCGTGATTCTTAATAACAGTATTAATAGAATAAAACTATCTTATTATTTAATGCAAATGTATTTTTTAGCAGAACTATCAGAAATTTATAATTCTCTCTTTTTATTTTTTTATAAACTGATTTATATCATTATAAATTAAATATCTATTTATTAACAATTTTTTATCATGCTATCTGTATATTGCAACTCTGTTTTAGAATTTATTGTTTAGAATTTAATTAATTTTTTTGCGACACATATATGAAAACTTTAACTATGACAATGTTATTTAAAACTTTGCAAATCACGTTATTGGTTATTTATGCATTTTATGTGAAAATTGTGCATTTGATTTATGTATATAAAATGTATATGATAAATATTATAAAATTTATTTTATATATTTATTTTTACATAGATTTACTTTTTTGACATGTGTTTGTTCTATAAAAATAAAAAAAAAAATGATTTTAATATACAAATTATTTTAAGAACTTTAATTACAAACTGTTGTCATATATATCCCATGCATATTATGTCATATTTTTTAAAAATTGCACTTACTTTTTAGAGCCCAATTGTTTTTCCTCGATACACCCATCATGTAACGAGTAAGATCTTCACCGCATGATAACGAAATATTTGCATCTCGGTACGTCTCATTCTTCCAGATTCGTGAGATGACAATTGGATTCCAGACTTCCAAAAATTGATCACCATCCCAAAGTTCGTTCTCGGTATTTCTGTCACTTGGTGCAGTCGTGTTGTTCGATGAAAAATTGGATTCGTCCTTATCACGAATAAACTGCTCCGTAAAATTCTCCCAGATATTCTCATTAGCAATAGATTCCTCTACCCACAGCTGATCTTGCGAGGATAATATGGTTTCAGTCACATTTGAACATATTACCACTCGATGCAATAATGCTAGATACAGTATAATTCCGTAGTGTAACATTCTCACAAAAATGTGTTCCATCAAAGAAACGTTAAAATTTTTCATTTTAAACAATTATCACAATGACTTCAAATTCTATCACAAATCTTTCTAAATATTTAAAATAAACTTCAGAAAAAAATATATTAGATTACGTGTAGAAATAAAACCAAATAAAAACTAAAACGGTTTGCAAAATTGGTGAGGGCGACTGGATGTCGATGATGTAATTTGCACGAGATATATATTCCTTGGAAAATTTTATGTTTTACTCCTCGAGATTTATATTATATGCGTAAATGTCGGTAGCGTTAGTTATACTGTGCTTATACCTTCAAATGCATGTTCAGATATATATTCTAGCCGTCAACTCCCACCCTTAGGCGTCTATCAACTTCACGTCTATTCTTTAGAATAGTTTAGAAGGTAACAAATTGTTATCGCATTAACGCACGCATGTGCACAGCAGATGAATTTAGAGTTATTCAACTTTACGTGAGCAATTTATATTCGTCGACGATGTTTCTTCCGTGACAAGCAATATTTCTTTTGAAAAAGATGGATTTCTTTTGGATAAAAAGAAATGAGAAAAAATTAAAATTAAATCTTTAAGTGTTTCCGAATAAGAGATTAATTTAGAAATTTTTCGATTCTTTTCTTTCCTTCCTTTCGATTTTTTTTTGTCTTTTTGAATTATTATTTCTCTGTCGCTATATATGTGTATGTGTAACATATCTCTTAATTCTTATTAACGGATTAATCATCTTTATTCTATCTTTTTTACACAATTTTAATAAATAAAAATTTACTTTAATAATAAATTTATCTTCTAAAGAAAAATTTTTTCCGTAACGCTGGATAATCCGATCAATCGCGTAAATTAAAAGAAAGTGTTTTAAAAATTCATATTGTAAAGTTATGAATTCTGATATTTAAATGGAATCGAGTTAACAATTTTTTAAATTTTGTACAATTTTTTCTATTTATTTCAATTTATCTAAAAAATACTACAATATCTTAAATGTATTTTTTAGATAAATTAAAGTAAATAGAAAATTGTGAAAACACTAAAAAAATTTTTAATCCTATTTCAAAAATTTGTATTCATAATTCTTTATAATTTTGCAAAACAATTTTTCTTAATTTATCTATCTTTACACGATTTATTCGTTTCACTACTTTTACGGAAACGATTAGTCCGATAAATGTAAATCGGCAGACACGTGAGTTTCCCTTTTTATCGCAATGCACGTTACGTCTTGAGAGCGTAATAGATTGAAAAAGTCGATTTACTAGAGTAGGAATTGATAGTTGCTGCGTAGGCAAATATATAAGTAGCAATTTGTATCTCCTATTGAACAGGTCGTCATTGACTTTCACATAGCTCTCACATATAATGAAAATGATGATAAACGATAATTTTGTCATTTTCAATGTACTATCATTAATAGATTATACCTAGTTTTACAGAATAATCACGTGTGTGATTAAACAAATTATTTGTCTTTCATTTTTAAATCTTCATTATATAAAATATAAATATAATAATAAATAATAAAATAAAATAAATAATATAATAATAAAATAAAATTTCCGTATTAAAAACGTTCCTCACTTATTACACTATTTTCTACTTATTTTATGCTGAGAACCGGGAGTACCGTGTTATAATCCAGACATAATATATATATAAAGGATTCAACACTCGCGAACGAAACATGCTTTCGAAAAATATAACACGTATATAATTTATATGCACTAGTTAAATTATTATTCAAGTGGATAACATATCCCAGATACAGCACATGTCTCTAAAAGACGTTTAAAAGACAAAGATGTTTTATCATTCTTTAGCCATCTTTAAGATGTCTTTTGGTCTTCTTGTGTTGTCTGGTATGTATGTGAAAATCTAACACGTAATCGAAAATCTAGATGTGTATATTATATCAAGATATATATTATAATTCTCATGAAGCTGCTACATCACTGTGACTAATTCGTACATGTTCCAATTTTTTTTTTTATTTTTACTTTCACTTACGACTTGTTACATATATTATGTGACTTCATGTACAATTAGTGAACGAAAAATTGCACACTTCCAGACAATATAATAAGAAGAAATAAAAACTTTTATAAAATTTTTGTATTTTTTATATTTTTAAATGTAATTTTACTTGATTAATAAGATTTTTGCAAATAAAATGACATAAAAAACGCGACATTATTCAAGCGAGAATGAATAAAGAGCAAGCGAAATGATGTATCGTCGAAGAGTTTCGAAGTCTCTTACATGCGAGGGGCTTATTCCTTTATTATATTCGGATAAATTTCAATTAGATATAAATTTGAAAATTAAATAAAATATTTTTTTTCTTATCTAAATAAAAATTATTCGAATCGTGTTTTTGATGTCATTTTAATTAAAAATTTCATTAATCTATTAAAATTATTTTCAAAAAATTACTTTCTACAATAAAACAAATATTTTTATTTTTATTATATATAATTCTTGAGTATTTCACGAGTATACATATCTGTGTCATATTACCATGGAAAATAAAACTTTTATATTTTGCAATTTACCTGTTTGAAAATAATTTTAATGAATTAATGATTTTTTCGATTAAAATGATACTAGACACGACATAAACCGGATAATTTTTAGTTAAATATGTAATCAAAATTTTTATTATTAGTTTAATTAAAAATTATCCGATTTATGTTGTATTTGATGTCATTTTAATCACAAAAATCTCATTAATCCATTAAAATTATTCTCAAACGATAAAATAAAAGTAAGAATCTTTTTTAAAGTAAGAATCGAAATGACAGAAATCTAAATTATAAATTATCGTTTTGTTGCGATCTTTACAAACAATAACTATTTTTCTATCGATACTTAAAGTAAAGATATTTGGTCTCATGCTTTATCGTACGACTTTTTGATTATTTAAATATAATTTGGATTGAGAACGCGCAATTAAACAATCCAACCGCAGGATCGAGTAATTAACATAATGATAAGCTCTGTGATATATTAATCGTTTATTAAATAATCGATCTATAATTTAAAATACTTGTATAATATAATATTCCGCTTGTATATACATCATAGTATGAAAAATATTTCGGCAGCAAATTATCAATAACATCATATTCGGCTTTGGCGGAGTAAACATTAGCGCACTATTGTTTACGTGTTACGGCTTTATCATTCGCATAGTGATACTCGAACAATAATGTAGTAGTACGCGACGCTCCGTCAAATTCCTTTTTTAAACGCAATCGCGACAAGTATCGGGAAATAATTTGATATAATTAATAATTAATTCTCTCTCTTTCTTTTACTTTTTAGGCAACAATTATTTAAAAATATTTAAAATTAAATATATTTTGTTCGATATTTTTTCGTTAGACTTTTTGACGATCTAAATAAGATTCGGATTGAGAACGCGCAATAAAATAGTCTAATCACAGATCCGAATAATAACGATAAGTTCCGTGATATATTAATCGTTTATTAAATAATCGATCTATAATTTAAAATATTTGTGTAATATAATATTCCGCTTGTATACATATACGTCATAGTACGCAAAATATTTTCGGCTGCGAA